TCCCCCACCAGCCCGCCGGTGTCACAAAGTCGGTTGTCTTCCAACTCCTTGATGCAGAGCGTTTTCCATTCGGTTCGGTACTGGTTCCACAACAGTGTGACTGCGCGGTATTATAGTTCACCACTCTCCAATCAGGCCCAGTTTTATCCTTGACAAAAAGGGCTATAATGAAAACTCTTGTCCATGTGAAAGTGTTTCTGTGACAGGCATCTCCAAGTAAAACTGATGATTGTCAGGGTAAATGCATTTTTAAAAAATTTTTATTTTAAAGAAAATAGTACAAAAAAAGAACAAAGCAGTTAGACACGGTTAAACTCCCAGATTGCACTTCGGGTGTCTGTGTCACTTTATATTCCCACATGCATTGTATGAGCGCGCCAATTTCTCCACATTATTACCAACACCAACAGTGTCTAACTGCCTTTCTTTCTCTTAGTAAACTTCCTCTAGTAAATCTTTATGTGAAAGCTGGCCAATGGTAAATGTCACTCAGAGTCTGAGTATATCTTTATCCTAGCATCACTCTTGCTTACGTACCTGCTAACAATTACAATTTTTCACTTTTTTCCTTTTGTTCATTAAGCTTGCCTCCATTTCCCTCTTATTTCTGATGTGAGCTTGATTTTCACTCTTTCAGAGGTAACTTGCCTTTATTTTCTCTGGTTCTTTTTAGGATTGTTTCATAATATGCTGAAATTTCAGTGCTAAGAGTCTAGATAAAACTTAGGCTATGTGCTAAGTTGGGGCTTCGTAAAGCTTTCAGTCTGAGAATTCATGTCTTTTTCTAAAAAGTTCTTGCAAAATTGAAACGACTGTTTTTTTCAAAGCTGAAGATGAAAAAGGGAAGGAGCTGAGAGCCCAGGGTCACCCAGGGGATGGGGAAGAACTGGGAGGAAGTGGTGAGCAGAGGTGGCATGTGCCTGGGTTCTAATGTCAGCAGTGAAGGAGGTGACAGTGACAGAGATGAGTAAGTTGTGGAAGAGCGTGGGAATCTGGAGGGAGAATGGGAACACAGTGCTCATGAAACAAAGGAAGGGAACTTAGGACCCTGATTTCTCCCAGATCTGAGCCTGCTTGCCTCACGGAGGGACCCCAGCTAACATTTGCTTCATATGACCTCCTTTCTTCTGCCCCAAGGATGGGACTGCTGGATCCAGGTAGCTAAGGCATCTGGGAAAACTCTGAGAAAGGGAAGACAATATGAGACTGAATACCATGGACTGAATGGCTTAAACAACAGAGACTGGTTTTTACACAATTCTAGAAATGAGAAGCCCAAGATCAAAGTGTTGGGATCTTTGGTTTCTTTTGAGAGTTTTCTGCTGGCCTGCAGGTGCCTGTTTTCCTCCTGCGTCTTCATGTGGTCTTCTATGTGTCTTCCTCTACTCCCCTCCTGCAAAGACGCTAGTCGCATTGGATGGGAATCCACTCTAAAGACTTCAGGTTGTCTTAGCCACTTCTTTCAAAGCTAAACACAGAAGTATTCTGAGGTTAGGACTTTAATACCTTAGTTCTTTAGAGTCAGGGAATGGGGAATAACCTAATTCAGCCCATAACAAAACCCTGCCACCTGTAGCTTATTTTCTAGTATAAGCTATCTTTTTCTTCTCTGAAAATACTGTAATCAGATGATAGCATGTGTCATTGATATTCAAGGTCTCCAAGGTGTATCAGAAATCTCCAGATGAGGGGAAGGAGCTCTGATATTGGGATTAAAAGGTTCTGGGCTCTAGACATTAATAATCCATCTATAGTTACATTTGATTTCTCTAGCCCTTTGTATCTTCATCCGTACAAAGATGTAAATATTATATGCAATAATGTATATGGAAGTGCTCGGTAAGTACTAAATTTTTTTGTCAAATGTAAGTCACCATCAATTATAAGGTACACCATTGCATGATAGTCACCAAAAAAGGGCAAAATCATGCCAGGAGAAATTTTTAAATTAAGTATTTAGGAACTCTATCCCAGATTCATTCAATCTGAATTTCCTAGAATACAGCTCAGGGACCCACCTTTTTTAAATTTCCCACATTATTTCAAGGAATTGAAATGATAATCTCAGAAGCTGTGACTTCTGTCATCAATGTGCTGAACAATCTAAAGTTTTAGTCTTATCTATGATTGTTGGAGCTATTTATCAGTTTTTTAGCTGGTCTACAGGAAGCTTAAATTTCGGGTTTTTTGACATTAAAAAAACCCATTTCCCAAATTCTTTACATTTCCTGACACATACGTGGAATTCCAGAAACTCTTGCTTAGGAGTTACACAAAATAAATACTTTGGTAGAACATGTAAACCAAAACGTTCCAGTGGCGGCAGTGCTGTGGCATGTGCTCTCTTAGTAGCTAACTTCCCGACACCTTTCCCTGACCATAACCTCAAGGTGACAAGCTCACCTCTGTCATTCTATGCTTTATGATTCTAAACGACAACAGATTAGCTCCTCGTATACGTGTTTAATCCATTTTTTGTCAGACTTTAAAAACTAGTGGAATTCTTTCAAACATTATTTCTCTGAATATCTATAGTTGAATTCCATAGAAAAGTAGCACTGCTATGACCTTAGAGAAAGCAAGCATCAATATTGTGAGGTCTGCTCTGGACTCTTTTTGTCTCTTTGGTTAGCAATCCACCTCACCACCTTCACTGCAGTATCATTCCACCATCCTGCACCCACATTTAGACACTCCAAGAGCCCAAAGAGTCTAAACCTCTGATTTTACACGTGAAGAGACTGGTGTCCTCCCTTCTCCTCAAGAAACAGGGGATGTGTCTGAGATCACATACCATTTAGCCTACAGGCATTGAGTCAAGTTCTCCAGCTCCCAGACCGATATCCCTTACATTCCTCCCAAGGCTCCTGATCTGTCCCTGACATCTCAGGGAATTTTCACCAAAAGCACAGGAAGACAACGCCACGGATGCAGCACAACCCACTGGGAAACCGCCCTGCATCACACCCAGATCCGTTACTGAGCCTCACAGTCGTTGTCATACAGACTTCCTCTGAGCCTGGCAGACGCCCAGGGAAGCGCTCATATCAGATCTGCCGTGCATTGGCAGAACTTTGGCTTGGAACATACTTCAAATGCCTCCCATTGAACATTGGCAGTCTTGGAAAAACATGGCCAGGAAATCATTCTAAGAGGCCTAATTGCTCTATGACACTTTACAAGGGAAGTTGTTGGCCTCCTCTCCCCTTCCTTCCCTCTGTGCCCAGAAGCAGAACAAAGACGGCGTTTCCCAGTGTATGTCCTCAATCAGGGGAAGGTGAGCTCAGTCTGGGCACAAATCTAGCGAATGTCTACTGGGCAGGGCCTCTTTGCACAAAGCCGCATGCATTTTGCCAAGTTCTTTCTCCTTCAGTTTTGAAAGCCCTAGTGTGTTCCAGGAGAAATGTAGTCCATGTGTTTCTGATTCATTTACACTTAAGTCATTAAAATGTTGTTTTGTGAAACTTATTTGATGTCAGAGGAGCCTTTTAAAAGGGAATTTTAAAGGTTTTTCCTCTTACCCTGCCTGAAATAGAAAGCAACATCTTGCTGAAACAATGCCTGAATTCAGACGTATTTTCTCCTCTCATACACTTGCACCTGCGTTACTGGCCAAGGTGACCATTTCAAGGTATTAAACGGATGAATTATAGGGAAAAGGGGGCAGGGATTGCCCTCCAAAATGTGGCAAAGGAATATTATCAGAAGGTAGAGAGTGTGTGTGTTTGCTACCTGCAGGACAGCTAGATAGAGCACTTCCCCCAGTACAATGTCATGTAAGCTTCAAAGCAACCTGCATTTTCCAAATGAGGAAACAGAATCAGAAAAGCATTGTGTCCAAAAGTACACAGCTTGAGTCGGCAGGAAACAGTACAGCGAGATTCAGAATCTAAGATTCTTTGCAAGATGACTCTGTCTCCCTGTGAATGACCGTGTGTGTGTGTCTGTGAGTGCGCGTGTGCGCCTCTATACATATTATAATATATTAACAAGCGGTGGAGTTGAATACTATATAAGAACTGAAATTCTTCTTCAAAGACTTTCTAACTGTATGACCCTGGGTAAATTCCTTAACTATCTTAGAAGTTTCCTCACCTGGAAAATGGGCATATTACTACCCTCCTGTACAAGACAGAAAAATAATTGAAAAGGATTCAGATGCTAAGTGCTTGGTACAATGCCTGTTCTAAGTAACTGCTGTGAGCAGACGCATCAGTGGTGAGTGATAATCAGCTGGAGAGTTTTGGAGAGTCATGTCATCTCTCTGAGCCTCAAGGTTCTCACTGTACAAGTATAACAATAAGACCCTCCAAGGTTTAAGTCATGCCAATGACATGTGTGCCTAACACTGTGTCCGACAGAGAAAGGATGTTTGGAAGAGCATGTTTTTACACCCAGACATTCCGTGCCTATTCCGTGTGGGTCATCATTGTTGGGGGGGGAGGCATTGCTGTGGAGGGGACTGTTATTTGGCTGCAGGTCTCACCCTATTCAGTGTTGACTGCCATTTCTGGGAAGTGGGTGTAGGGAGAGGAGTGTCTCCCCCACTCGGTCTTATCATCATTTTTGTGGAGCTTTTGTTCCTTATAATTCAGCTCCGCCTAGGCTCCATGTCGCATTTCTCGCACAAACCATGGGCATAGAGGGGCACACGAGCCCAGGTCCTTCTACATCTGAGGGGGCAGCTGGCTGTCTGGCTGATACGGGCCCTTTCCGGGCCAAGTTGCAATCCACACACTCCAAGCTGGTAAACAGCAGCACAAGTATTGCTTTTAAGTGGGGAGAACAGCCAGCCAACTGCAGCACTTGGTGTTCTGTCACTGTCCACGCTGGTGTGTAACTCTGTTTACAAGTTGTTTGCAGACAGACAGAGGCTTTGGAATTTGCATCTTGTTTTCCCTTGTAGTACGGATGCTGAAGTTGCCTTAGTAGACAGCTGTTTCTTTTCATTGTTATTCTTGTGCTGGTGTCCTGAGGCAAGGCAAAAATTATAGCTATTAGGTGAGGGAGGCTGAAGAGAAATCAGACTCTGTCCCTCTCCACTCTTTCTTAGAGAGAGAGCGGGAGGAGAAATACCTATGTGAGTGCCTCTCAGTTATTCTCTCTCAAGGGCTGGAGTCAGCCACAGGGGGTAAAGGAGGGAGCTGGTGGAGCAGATCTTTTAAGGAGGAAGACACATTCTGTTCTCTCAGGTCCTTCTGAGTGTGTCAGAGCAGTGAGAGGAGAGAGAGAGAGAGAGAGAGAGAGAGAGAGAGAGAGAGAGAGAAGAGCCAGAGGGAGAGAGGGGGAGAGGGGATCTGTTGCAGGCAGGGGAAGGCGTGACCTGAATGGAGAATGCCAGCCAATTCCAGAGACACACAGGGACTTCAGAACAAAGATAAGGCATTGCTGACACCACACCGGGGACGAGCTCGCAGACAAGTCGGGCAGAGGGGACCAAGGCCAGGCAACCAGGAGCATGCAGGGCAGCAAAATGAGGTGAGTGCCGGGCAGGAGAGGGCACTGTGCCCTTCCGGAGACCAATTGTCAGGCGGCGGAGAGGGTCTGACCTTGTCTCTGGGCAGACTCACCTGCGTGTCCTGTGGGAGGCTGGGGTGTTTCTCGTCAACCCTCAGGGCTCTGTAAAGGGAGCTGTGGCCGTGCCGGGTGCCTTTCCCAGGACTCCGGAGGCGTGCAACTTGAAGCAGGAGAGTTTGTACAAATCCTGCTCTGGATGCTGCTGGAGCTCAGATCTCGCCCTCTGCCAGGACAGGGTGCTGCCTGCTGGCCAGTGTGGCTCTCTTCCTGGTGCCCACAAAGCTGGTTTTTCATTTTCCCCTCTGTGAAGAGCATTGATTTCTCTCTCCGGACACTTTGAGAGTTAGCTATGTGTTTGTGTGTTTATTTGTTCAGACCGGAAAAGAAACCAGCTTTCCACAGTCCAGCTTTGCGGTTTCTTAAACCTTCAGAAGTTTGCCAGTTAAACCTCAATTTAGAAAACTAAAAACCTGTCCCCATTTTACAGTTCCCTATAAATTTCTTCGTTTCTCACTGAAATCAGAGGCAGCTGGTGACATGAATCAAGCTATGAATTGTACCAAATGGTTCTTAAAGGGATACAAACCAATTGTTTTCTGAAAGAGCACTTGGAGTTCTGTAACCCAGGACTTTAAATTCCACTTGGCTTGCAGCTCTTCAGATATTCCTTACAATGTTTTTACCCAGAGGTCTGAAAACCATTCTCATTATTTTTATTATGTATAAGTGTTATGGTTAGTGGAAACACCAAAAAAGTGGGAAAAAGAAATCTGTAGGGAAAAAAAGAAATTTGTGGATCTGTTAAGCCATGTACACCCCTTTCCCTATTAATTTTTCTTTAAATTGGGGATGCGTCTGTTCATTTCTTTTTGGTAAAGTCTTTTAGCAACTTTGCCACTGAGGAGCTTCAGGAAGTATGCCTCTGAATTCAAGTTGCCTGTGTCCAGAGCCATAATTGAACCCTCAAATATAATTCAGGCATTCTATCATTTTAAACCTACCCTCAACCTTCATTTTCTTTTTGCTGAAAAAAAAATGGCCTTTATGCCCATCTACATAGAATGATAATCAGATTTACCTGTAAAGGATCAGAACCTTACCATATCACCAATATTCCAACCAGCCAAACTGCGGGGCTAACTTCTGTATCTTTGTGTATGTTTATCCCTCAATCTAGAACAGTCTTGTCTCTTCTTTTCCACCCAGTTACTTCAGCCATTCTAATACACTTCCTTTTTCCCTGATCTCCATCCTCCAGAGACAACATCTCCTCCTTTGTTCTGTTCTGTCCTTTGGAGCTACATCTTTTATTGTCTTTGGAGCACCTCATTTAAATATCCACCTTAACCAATGTATTCATCTTTGTATAACCAGTAGCTAACATAATGTCTATTTCCTCACAGATATTTAATAGATATGGTTTTAATTTAATGCAACTGTTGAATAGCGAAGCAAATGCTAGAAAATTGCCATGCTAGAAAAGTCTCTAAAAGGTCTTGCCTACATGCATACAACACTTCAGAATTTACAAAGCAATTTTATGGGCACTGTCTCATCTAGTCTTCAGATTTTGGATGAAGTTAAGTTTTGAAGGATGAGGAAGGATAAAATATATTAAGCAACTTGCCCAAAGCCATACTGATGGACTTGAGTCTTTGGGCTCCAAAGCCAGCATTTTTGCTAAGATAATTCCCTAGACTCAGTCCTGGCTGCACAGCAGCATGAACTGTTGAACTATAGTATTTTAGAAAACGCTAATGCCCAGGCCTCACTCCAGAACAGTTAAACCCAAATCTCTTGAGGCGGAGCTCACGCATTAGTATTTTTTAAAATTTCCACATAAAACCATGACTTTTAGAATTATTTTTCACAGGATTAATTGCTTTGGCCAGATGCCTGGGCATGATATGGGCATGGACCCAACTTCTTCTGTGAGCTTTTGTTATCCTCCTTTTCTGTTGAAGTTACTTCACCATATGGCATCGGGCATGATGTGACATCTCTCAGGGTATCTTTGCATCATCTGTCAAATGAGGGTGGTGTGTAAGAAAGCTATACACTCCCTTCCAACTCTTAGACTTAAAAATGGTGTCTCAGTGTTGTGTAAGTTGAAATGAGGGAAGTGAATGGGAAAGCTAGAAATTGCTACTCATTCTAAAATCATATGAGAACTACATGGGCATCTGATGCATCTTTATGCATAGACTCCTACCATGGAGCCTATGAAATCCCAGCTCTATATATTACTCTGACATTTCAAGCAAATGTAGCTAAACTTTTTGATTAGCTGGAGGATAGATAACAGGTGTCAGGCATCGGACAGCCGGTGCCTAGTGGGTAAGAAGCCAAAAATACTCAGAGCGTGATGAGAAGTGAAAGCTGCCACTTCTATGCGTCGATTTACAGACCCTAAAGCAAGGAAGCAAGCAAGCATATGCTCGAGCCCATTATGTGAAAGGAGATATTCACTTCATATGTTTGAAACTGTTTCAAGATGCAAACAGAGAAGAACAGAAAGCTTCGCAGGCCTCCCACCCACGCTGACCAGTTGCCCACCACACGTGGCTCTGGGCCTCTGAGCTAGAGGGACCAGTCAGCTGCCAGCCCTTGATAGGCTCAGAGCCTCCCCTCTGCGGTCTGGAAAAAGCAGACACGGAGAAAGTTGACCTTTCAGCCTTACATAATCTTGTTGTCTCTATTGCAGGGAAGTCCATTCAGAGAGCCAAAGCGCACTCCTAACTCCTGCCTTTCGGGAACCAGCAGGATGGAGTAATCACAAATAATGTTTGCCTAGAGCTGGACACTTAACAAAGCGCTTTCTGATGCTCCTGTGGGTAGCAACCCTGTGGAAAGTCATTGTTACCACACAAGAGATGAGGAAACAAACAGGCTTTCCTCGCCTGCTCTGAAACAGTAGGGATAAACAAAGTCAAGGCCTCTAGTTGAACTTACTCTCTGACCCTCAGCCCGGCTGAACCTGCACTCTTAGCCCTGTTAGCATAGTGCATTTCCTCATGGAAGTGGGCATAGCTGGGCCCCACAGGTCGGAGTTTCTGGACTCGACATTTCTCCTACCTCCCTGGATAACTTGGACCGGACCCATGCCTTCCCTTCTCTCTGCCTCTGAAGCCTTCTTTCACAGATTGGCTTAGAAAATATTGACACTGGCTATTGGATTAAAACGTTTTGTTTTCTTAACAACATCCCACATGTTGCTGTTGTAGGGGCCTTGGAAAAATTTTAAATAAATTTATTTCTTTTTATTAAGAAAAATAGTATATGGTCCCTCTAGGTAAATGTAAGCACTTTATGTACACAAAACTGAAAACATTCATCCCCACTTCATAGACAACCACTGTGAATAGTATGGTGTGTACCTTTCTAGACCTCTTTATAATTATCTGTTTACATTTTATGTGAACAGTACAAAAAATAGCTGAATAATCTATGCATGCAGTTATTTTGCTCTGTTTATATACTTAAAAATTCACATGTAAGCTTATATACACAAATATGCATTTGAATACATGGGAGGAGGTACTGGAAGAGAAACAACTTTCTGATTAGCAAAGCTTTAACTCTTAACCCAAAAATGCTAAGATAGTTTCTCAGCATTAACTTATTTTAGGCTATTTAAGACTCTGGCCCTTCTGTCTTCTATTCATTCATTCTTCCACTTACTCACCCACTCATAACCTTCTAGATACTAGTCTCTCTGTGACATCCTCTACATACACCATAGCTGATGTTCACAGGAGCTTAATAAATTAGGCATTATAATCACCATATTATAAATGAGGAAAATGAAGCTCAAAGGGCCTCGTTGCCCTAAGAGGAAGAATTGGGATTTGAATCCAAATACATTTAACCTCAAGGCTGTGCCTGATGCAGTTCTGTGTGACAGCAGCTCTAACAGAGGTGTATACAGCGAGATGTACACAGGGAGATGTGAAATGGGAGGGACGAAAGGACATTTCATAGCCCAAGAAGCTTTGAGCCGGACGGTGCAGGATAAATAAGACACTGGCATGTGAAGGATGGGGTCATGCACAATGGTGTCAAATCATGGGAAGGAGTGGCAAGGCCGGTGTTGAGAGGGACTGGACAGGCAGATCAACACCAGCCTCACCAGCCAGACGGGGAGTAGATGTCTCCCCTGCAGCTGTAGTACAGTCAAGCAACGTGCTCATATCTATGCTTTAGAAAACCCACCTTGGCAGAAGATATAACTACCTTGGTGAGTGACATAACGGAGAAAGGGACAGTTTGGATGGAATAACAACATTCTAGAGCACAGGGTTGAAATGAAATACTTGACTGGAGAGGAGATGGATATCCAAATTACAGGAAACAGAACCAGGTAGAACTTCGTGACTATTACACAAGGTGTAACAGGAAAAGGGAATGGTAAACTTAGCAAACTGGTAGATGGTAAGACCATTTTTAAGGATCAGAAATGAGATCATGAACCTCTTAGGAAAGAAGTTGATGAGCCAAGTTGGGGATTGATCCCAAGGTCCCTGGGCCTTGTAGGGGAAGTGATGTATTGTTAGATGCCTGGTGTGTTGCCGTGTACTGACCATTAGGGCTTTGACCAGCCGTGACCGCTGTGTCTCATTATTCCATTACCCATATTTTCTGCCTTCTGTAAGTTTTATTGTTTCCTTGCTTTCTTTTGCAACTATTTTAACAATCCAGTATCCTTCATTCCTCTAGAAATGAATCAGAGGCTTTTGGCCCTCATATTAGGACTCTTGGCAAGAGGAAGATGAGCCATTTTGCTCATTCTGTCTTTATTCAAGATTTTGCATGTCTGGATTGATGCTGTGGCGAAATACTTTTTCCAACATGTTAAATTTGTTTTAAACTTGGCAGATTCCATCACTGAGGATTAATCTCATCTCAATTATGCCATATTATTATTATTATTCATCTTTTAGAAAAATGCATAATTTGTGATTCATAAATGAAGCTGAACTGAAGAAATGATACCAAATCTTCCCTAATTGTGAAACTTACATTTTCATTAGCAAAACAAAATATGTCAGAGTGTCAGCTGTGGTACTTTCTGAAAAAGTTTAAAACTCTTAGCAACTTTTCAAAAGACCAAACCTGGAACAAACCTGAGAAATCACATAGTTACTTCCTCTCAGGTTACAGACTGGCTAGGCAAGGCACAGAGGGAAAAAGTAACTGCAGAAGGAACACTCTGAGAAGATGGTCTCCTGGCTGCAGATCCAGTTGGGGGTTAGCGATCTGTGTCCATGAGTGTAAGTAGAAGCACATTCATGTCTTTCAGGTGGCTCCTCCTCTGTTATACGCTGTGCTTCTCCCTCTTGAAGGCTTCGGGCCACACCGTGGAGCTAAATGATATGTTTGGCCAGATTCAGTCACCTGGCTATCCTGACTCCTATCCAAGCGACTCAGAGGTGACTTGGAATATCACTGTCCCTGAGGGGTTTCGGATCAAGCTCTACTTCATGCACTTCAACTTGGAATCATCATACCTCTGTGAATATGACTACGTGAAGGTGAGGCCCCTAATGTTTCCTAGCTGAGCCAGGCTCTCTGCTAAGAGGTAAGAAAGTCTAGACTTAGAAGCTGTCCTTACTGACCCTCGTAGGCTTATATTTAGAGACCTCGATGTGGTGAATGAAGGCGAGGAGTGGTATGCCAAGTTCAAGCTGGGTAAGTCGACCTAGAAAAGACAATGGGAGAAACTGGGATTGGTGGTAAATGACTTGACCCAGTACAACATCTTTTTTCATCCTGTTCTCAGGACTAGGAGTATAGCTCAGTGGTAGAACACACGCTTGACATACCGGAAGTCATGGGTTTGATCCTTAGCAGGAAAAAATATCTTTTTTTCTACAAGTTTGTAATCTCTTTACTAACTCCTTCTTGAAGGTCTCAGAGACCCCAGAGGATGCCCTAGAGCATTTCAAACTGAAATAGTGCCACCAGTATGCCCAAAACTGATATATTAAAAAGCACTGCCCAATTCTCCAAATAATAATCAAGAGTTTGGGAAATTTGGGTACACAGTAATTGACAGTTAGAAGGGAAGTTGGGTGTGATTCTGAAAGGCCTTAAATATCACTCTAAGTAATTCATTTTTTATCAGCAAAGGGCATGTGCAAGAAGGAAAATTCACTATATGAGGGAAGTGTAAATAATGTACTGGGGTAGACCAGGAGACTATTACAACATACAAACAACATTCCCTGGAATTTAGAGAAAACCCACAAAAATATTATGGGGGAGAAGCTGTTCTCACTTTAAAACAGGGATGAGAATAATCAGAGAATTCTGAGACCAAGTTTATTAAGGTTGTATCTACTTCAGAAAGATGTAGAGAGGCAAGAACTGACTGTCTAAGCTCTCTCTGGCTTCTCAGAAGAGGTTCTCATCAAAGAAATCCAGAGCTGACCTTGTATATTTTTAATACTAATGTAGTCTCATTGTCCAATAAATCAGAAAGAGTTAAACTTGTGTTAACCAGAATATTTGGTCAATAGCAGAATAGTAAATATTATAAATATTATGCTTTTTTTATACTTTTAATCTCATTGAAACTGTACAACAGTCCTATAAGACAGGAATAAATATCTCACATCACAACAAAGGAACAAACCTAGGAAAGTTGATAACTCACCCAACATTGTACAGCTAGGTAGTAGCAGATCATGACCTCAAATACATGTCTTGTGGCCTTCAATCACATGCTCAGTGGCCACACTCACAAGCTGTATGCCACTGAGCTTGAGGGGCTTACAGGGCACAGGAAAAGGGAAATCCCTGTCCCTGCTGTGTTCATTTTATAGGAAGTATGCAGCCAATGAATGTATTGGGTCCATATGAAATAGTCATGGTGTTCCATATCAAGGTTCCAGATGAGAAAGCTCTCTTAAACACTGTCACATTTTTAGAAACACCCCTTGCTTCTACTTATTAAATGGCAGTGGCAGCTCTCCTCCAGATGTGACAACTGAAAATATATCCAAATGTTGGCAATACCCCAAAACTGCTGCTGTATAGAGTGCTGCCTTTCTATAAATGCCCTGTGCTGGGGATTATTGGACTATTAGGATGCAAAAGACTTGTGCCTTACAAAGACAGATGAGGATGGTCTTTGGGAGTTGCAAATGTACAGTCCACTTGAGGCAATTCATGGGTTAAGCTGTTGATTCCTTTGGAAAAGGGGATCAATGTGGGATAGTGGACCTGTGTAGTTGACTATAGCTAGCCCCTGGCAGATGTTCCGGCATCCAAGGGACCTGAGCAGGCTTCCCATTGGAGGATGCCACCCCTCAAGCTGATAACCCGTCCTCACATGGAGTCAGGTCCTTGTGCCCTTGTCCACACATGCCCAGCAGAATTTGGAAAAATAAAAAGTCAAAAGTCAAAAATGCATAAGTCTGCAGGCCTTCTAAAGACTCATCTAGTCACAAGTGGTTGTTATTATTGGTTTTTACATAATTTCCTAGTAGTGAACATGTTCTCCTAACAACCCATCAATTAGACCCAATAGAGAAAAGAGATAGGAGCTGCTCAGGTGAAAGGTGACTCCATAGCTTCTTCTGCTTGCTCACCTTCCTTGGTCATCACTCTCCAGCATCTTGAGGCATCATGGCTCGAATTTTGCCATTCTGGTCAAGTCCCCACGGGATGAAAGAGGAGATGGAAGGCTGAAGATCAAGCACAGGACTAGCAGTCTGCTTCAGAACTCCCATACCAGAAACCTCACACACAGTTGAAACCCGTTCACTTTGATAATTGCCTTCCCAAGCTCAGCCCCCAGATATGTGCTTTTTCTGGCTCAGAATAAGAGAGATGCGCTTCTCTTTCCATCTGAACAAAAGCACGAGTGGGCCATGTGACTCCGGGATCAGTCAATCCTGCTCTCCAGAAGTCTGTTTTATCATCTGTTCAATGACAAGGTGGGCTGAGCTGATTCTTAATGTTCCTTAAATTCCAGAATACTAATCCCGACCCTCCTTGCCAAAAATTTCCAGATGACCCCATCAAACCCTCATTATCCTAGTTAGGATGGCTCCAGGAAATGGGAATAATATGTTTATAACAACCAATTCTCAAAGCTTCACGGTTGCAAGCCCTCCAGTTACAGCGTGCAGTCTATCAGGGTTGCCTTGGTGACTTATTATTTGAGTAGAGCTTATAAACATACCATGCCACCACTGTCCTTCGCCAAGGAACTTTAATATAATTGACTTCCCTTTGACAGGATAATATCTCTTGTTTTGAAGCCTTTTTACTCCATGACTGAATTTCCCTGCCAACCAAGGAGTGGGTTTAAAGAAACTTTCTTATCAGAGAAGACCTCTTAAAAATTCTTAAATATAATAAAATACTACCTTTTGCATATCCAGAACAGATGCTATTTTTCCAGAAATACAACAAATTACAGTTCTTTTGTCTGAATATCAGGTGAAGTGATTGATTTAGAAAGGAGTCGTGGGGTAAATTACAGAAATAAATGTAATTAATTAGCCCAGACAAAGCCCCAAACTGGTCTCTCTACCCAGACCTATCACAGTGACATCAGTCGCTTAAATAGCAGGACCCCAAGGCTATGGACCCAGTGCTCCTATTTATGAGAATTCCTCTCCAATCTGATTTCCTGCAGTCCTTGCTCTTCAAGGCACATGCACATCTGCACAGCAGCATCCACTTCCATGGAACGTGGCTTCAATTGTGGATTCCTGCAGTGCACAGATGAGGCATGTGAACCACATCTGGTTGATGCAACAAGCAAAGGGTAGAGAAGAGTCACGGTCAGAGAACTGGGAAGACTAGTTTCTAATTGTCATTCTATACTAAATAGCCTTGAGCAAAAAAAAAAAAAAAAAAAAAAAACTCCTTCCAGAGGAGACTTTGGTTTCTTTCTCTGTCAAATACAGGATCTATAGCCAGATGGGGTAATCAAACCTACCCACTGCCCCTACCACTCCCTGATCTGGAAGAAGTAAGCAATTCATGAAGCTTCATCTGTATTTATAGCTGCTTCCCGTTGCTTGAATTACTGCCTGAGCTCCAACCCCTGTCAGATCAGCAGTGGCATTAGATTCTCATAGGACCAAGAACCGTACTGTGAACTATACAGGTGAGGGAATCTAAGCTGCATGCTCCTCTGCACATCCTGAAGCCACTATCCCCCATACCCGGCTGGAAGAACCAACCCTGCTGCCAAAATGGTTGGGGACAACTGGTCTACCTAACCCTAATATTCTGTGCATCTGAGACCTTAGAAGTCAAGGGAGAACACCATCATCAGCATGTCCAAAACCCAGAGAAGTTCATTGGCCAACATCACACTTGGACATCTCAAGACTCTCAGTCTTTTCCTCTTTTAAGTAAATTAAACTATAGTGCTTCCCAAATTGTAACATAAGGCAAATGTTGCCAATAGCCAAACCCACTCTTAAAAATTCCTTAAATATAATAAAATGCTGGGTTTTCTTGTATGTCCAGCAGAGCACTATTTTTCCAGAAACACAACAAATTACATTTCCTTTGTTTGAACATCAGATAAAGCCATTGACTTAGGAGCCATAGGGCAAATTACAGAAGGAGGTAGAATTAATTAGAAGCCAGAACCCCCAAGAGAACAGCACATTCACACATCCTATTTTCAAGATCACTTCATGATGTCTGTTCATTGACAAAGAAGGCATGAGTCACCTCCATTCAGTTTTTATTCTTTCTCCCATTGTGTGCAAAAAGTTAAATTGCATCTGCTCAGTGTTCATAGCATGAATGCCACTGTTCTCCTCTTAATCCCATATCTTTAATGTATCCAGCATTCCCTCCATCCTTTCCTCTGTTCATCCCTTCATTCCAATTCTTAGTTGTCTCACTTAATCTACTGTAAAAGCCTCCTATCTACCAGATATCAGTCTCTTCCCATTAGCCCACCCTCTACCTATAAAACATTGCTTTGATTGTGTCACTCTCAGCCCAGGATATAGCTTAGTGGCACAAGTGCCTGCCTGGTAAGCACAAGGTCTTCAGTTCGATTCCTGGTACCAAAACAAAAAAGAAAAGAAAAGAAAAGAAAAGATTGTGTCACTCTCAAAATCTTTCAATGGCTGCCCATTTCTTAAAGAACAAAGGCCAAGAATTCTATTGAAAATCTATTGTAAGCTGAATGCTGTACCAGAACTGGGCCCACAAAGAAGAGTAAGATAGTCCTGTCCCTTAGGAACTCACAGGTTCAGAATGTATAATGAGATAATTGCATATTTAATAAATTACAGACAAAGTAACACAAAGGGGATAAGGCAGCATATACATTTGGGAGTGGTCACTTCTGCATCAGAAGCAGGTGATGTATGAGATGAGTTTTGAAGGATAAATAAGAACTCAATAATGTGGTTCCTTAAATGGGATTCTAAGCAATGCTACAATGGCATGAAGGCCAATAGAGAGAAAATGTTGCCCAGAGAGAGAATAGTCAGGGTTGGATCTTTCAGGGGAGGTAAGAGAAAAGCCTATATGAGGAGGGACTGAG